ACTGTGATAAAAACAGTATGGTATTGGCAAAGGAACAGATCTGAGAATCAGTGGAACAGATTAGAAGACACAGAAACCACTCGAGACATACTCAGCTACCTCATTTTCGACAAAGGAGCCAAACACCCACTGGAGGAAAGATAGCCTCTTTAAGAAATGGTGCTGGAAAAACTGGGTTTCACCTTGCCAAAGATTAAAACTAGACCTATATCTCTCACCATACACTAAACTAAAATTGAAATGGACTAAAGATCCAAATATTAAAACAGAAACACTAAACCGGCTAGAAGAGAGGTCAGGTAGAACTCTTGAAGACATTGGTGTAGAAAAAGATTTTATGAATAAAACCTCAGCTGCCCACGACCTAGCACAAACAATCAATGAGTGGGGATGTGTTCTTATTAAAAAGCTTCTGCACAGCAAGAGAAACCACCAACAGTGTGAAGAGACAACCCACAATGTGGGAAAACATTTTTACCAGGTGCTACTCAGATAAAGGTCTACTATCTTGAATACATAAAGAACTTAAAAGAATGAGGCCTCCAATTTTAAAGACCCAGTCCAAAAATGGGCATCTGAAATGAAAAGACATTTTTCAGACAAAGAAGTAGAAATAGCAAATAAACATATGAAAAAAATGTTCAACATGACTAGTTATTTGAGAGATGTAAATGAAAACAACACTCCGACTCCACTTCACTCAGTATGAATAGATGCTGTCATGAAATCAGCCAATAACAAATGCTGGCAGGGGTGTGGGGGAAGAGGAACCCTGCTTCACTTCTGGTGGGAGTGCGGACTAGTGCAACCACTGTGGAAATCAGTATGGAGATACCTCAAAGAACTAGGATTGGAAGTCCCACTTGACCCTGCTATTCCCCGGCTAGGTATCTTCCCAAAAGAATTAAAAGAATCATGTCACAGTTATATATGTGCACTCATGTTTGTAGCAGCACAAATTTTCATAACTAAAACTTGGAAGCAGCCCAATTGCCTCTCAATGGGAGACTGAATAAAGAAAATATTGGGGGTTTATAATAAAAAGGAGTATTACTCTGCCATTAAAAATGAAAATTAGAGACATTTATAGCTAAATGGATGTACATTGAGTTGATACTCAAGTGAAATAAATAGGACACATGTATAAATATTGAATAATTTCTCTAGTGTGAGAAACTGAAAGTGTAAATAAAGACTAAAAGATATACTAGTTAAAGTGAAATAGAAAGAAAGGGGACAAAGGGGAAGGGGAAATGTGAAGGATAGGGAAAAGGAACGAAGGGAATGGAGTTAATAGGAGGAAATGAATAAATGGAAACAAAGTCTTTGTAAATAGGGAGGGATGGAGGAGTTCAAGGGAGGGCAGGGGAATGGGGAAAACAATAAAAACCAAGATAGATTATGTAAAGGTGCAAATTTCCAAGGATAAATATTATTGTATCGTATACCTAAAATGTACCAATAAAGTTAATTAAATAAAAAAATAACTCTTAAAGACAATGGCATAGTGAAAGATTTTATTAACAAAAATATCAGTTACACGTGAACTAGCAAAAGGAGTCAACAACTGGGATCTCATCTTATTAAAACCTCCTGATAAGAAATAAATGAAAATGAAACTCTTGCAGATAGGGAGGTGTGCAGAGCTTGAAGGGAGGATAGGCGAATGGGGAAAAAGTAACCGAGATACATCATGTAAAGGTAGAAGTTCCCAATGATGAATGTAAATGTATTGTATACCTAAAATGTACCAATAAAAGAATTTATTAGAAAAAAATCTGCACAACAAGACAAACCAGCAACAGAGTGAAGAGACAACCTAAAATGTGGGAAAAATTTGTTCATCACCTGCACCTGTTCCTCAGACAAAGGAATATTATTTAGAATATAGAACAAATTTTTAAAAATCAGACCCTCCCAAATTTAAAGACCCAATCCAAAAATGTGCATCAGAAATGGACAGACATATGTCAGACAAAGAAGTAAAAGTAAGCAAATAAACATATGTAAAAATGTCCAACATCACTGGTCATTCGAGAGACACTGAGATTCCATCTCCTTCCAGGAAGAATGGCTGCTATCAAGAAATCAACCAGTAACAAATGCTGGTGGGGCTGTGGGGATAAAGGAACCCTTCTCCATTGTTGGTGGGAGTGTAGACTGGTGCAACCACTATGGAAACCATTGCGGAGATTCCTCAAAAAACTAGAATTAGTGGTCCCATTTGACCCTGCTAGGTATGCTCCTGAAAGGATTAACATCACCACAGGGCCAGGGTTTTAGCTCAGTGGTTCCCTGCCTGACTTGCAAGCACAAGATCCAGAGTTTGATCCCCAGTTAAAAAAAAAAAAAGCATCACACCATAGTGATATATGTGTATTCATGTTCACAGGGGTACAGTTTGTAATAGCTAAATCTTGAAAACAGCCCAAAAGTCCATCAATTGGTGACTGGGTAAAGATGTGTGTTTTTAAAGTCCGAAATGGAATACTACTCAGCTACAAACAATGGTAAACTAGAAGCATTTATAGCTAAATGGATGCACACTGAGACCATACTCTTAAGTGAAATAAATAGGACAAACATGTAAATACTGTATAGTTTCTCTGGTATGAATAACTACAAGAGTAAATGAGTACCAAAATGTATAATAGATAATGTAAAATAGGAAAAAAAAAAGGTCCAAAAAGGAAGGGGAACTAGGGAGGGGAGTGGGGGAAAGGAAAGAAAGGAAGGAAAAATATGAGAAGAGATGAAATATATGGGAAAAAAAGATTTTGTAAATACAGAGGAGTGGAAGAACGGAAGGGAAGGAAGGAGAATGGGGAAAAAACAAGAACCTAGATATACAGGTAAAAATTCCCAATGAAGAATGTGATCATAATGTGTACCCACAGTGTATCAACATACTTTATGGAATAAAAAAGTAAAGAAAAGAAAGTTACATTCACCATGCTAGCAAATACTCCCTGAGTCAATTCACCCTTTTAAATGTGGCAGTGTATAGATAAATAATAAAAGAATTCAACCAAAGCATAATTCCTGATTTGTAGCTTTCCTTTTGATTTCTGCATCACTCTTCAGTCTTCATGGAAATACTACTGTACAATTCCATTCTTGCAAACATTGCCCCATCTTCGAAAGCCCACCCCCCAACATCTGTTGCCATCAGCTCTGACCTCACACTTTGTCTACTTTCCCTACCATGAATATAGCCTTCCCCACCTCATTGATGGCTGTCAGCTCCTCCCCAGTTGTTGCCCGTATTATGCTGAGAATCCAACATGCCTAGGAAGTCTGAATCAACTTCCTGGCCTCCCAAGGCCTCATTCAGGACCACTAACATGTGTCCTCTGCTTTCTACTCCAACCATCTCCTCCTCTGACACCAGTGTACACACCATTCCCACTGAAACTACTCTCCCTGAAATCACGGATTCAAAAGCCTCCCACTGACCACAGCTTCCCTCCCTCCCATGTGCCCAGCCCACCCATCAACCCTCTGTAAGTCAGCGCTTCTCTGTGCCCCCAGGCACCTCCCACTCAAAATGACTGAAACAAAGTCAAAATATTGCCATGCACTTGAAGCCTTCATTATCATTGTTGATGACAACAGTGGGGCCTCTTTTTCACGGAGACACTGTGGCTCTGGCTAAGCCTCTGAGGCTTCCCACTGTGCTCTGTGAGTCAATTTTCAGCCGTTCTTCCTGGGCCCAGGCATCTCATCTGAGAAAGAGAAGGACATGTCCAGGATGATAGGAGGACCCTCACAGTTGCTTTCTGCTTCTCTCTCTCCATCTTGTGGGTTGGTGGGCATCCCGGTGTTGTTGTTGCCCTCAGAGCCTACCAGTGTCAAGATGTAGTCAGTGAGGGATTCTATCATGGCAAGAAGAAAATCTGATGCGGATGACATGCTTGGATTATATTCTTCATGCAGAATGCAGTAGATGTCTCTCATGGGTAACTGCTGCTCAGGTCTGGAAGCAGGGTCTTCCTGTTGATTGTTGTCTTTACAGGAACCATCTTGGTTGTTTTGGTCACACATGATGGTTGTTAGTTTGGAGCTCTGGTCTAATCTGCCTGCTCCACTGGCTGTATTAGGTATCTGAAGCCATCAACACTCAGACCTGCGCAATGTAACTCCAGCTCTTATCCCTCATTGGTCTGAAGCTGTTTTGTGACAACCTGGGCTTTGTGATATCATTGGTGTCCACTGGGATGTGATCAGGCCTCAGTCTAGAAATGTTCATGATATCAACTTGGTTGCCCTAATAAGTGAGTACATTTTTGAGGCAACTCTTTCCACTTTCTACTGTATTTGAGCATTCTAGGAAAAAGCATATTTCAATGAATACATTGCCTTGTCTTTAGCACACCACTTAAGGTTCCCTGATACCATCCTTCCATCTTTTTTGAGCTCTTTTGCATTCCTTTATAAAGCATTGGTAACTGATAGACATGGTGAATCCTTTATCCAGTATACATATATTTTTCTCCCTGATCATGGTGTAATGAGAACAATTTTGCTTCCATTTTTCAAATTAGTTAAATATTTATGATAAATACTTCCACATCTGCTCTTTGGATGTTCCTTCCAGTTGCCTATAATATCTGTTAATTTTCTCATAAGTTAAACAGATTCTTACAAAATATTTTCATTTACTATCTGGGTGACTGTCATGATTTTACTGTTTGAAAATATCATACAACTGTTTTGAAGGCCACATTTATAACCTCAGTTGATTCACCTGTTAACATTCATAACACAAGTGTATCCCTTACACTCAGTTAAAGCCCAAGACTGTCTTTTCCTGGATCTCCCGGGTCTATTCAAAGCATGCTAGGAATTTACTGATTCTGTTTTTTCTGGGTGCTATATTGCCATGCACTTGAAGCCTTCATTATCATTGTTGATGACAACAGTGGGGCCTCTTTTTCACGGAGACACTGTGGCTCTGGCTAAGCCTCTGAGGCTTCCCACTGTGCTCTGTGAGTCAATTTTCAGCCGTTCTTCCTGGGCCCAGGCATCTCATCTGAGAAAGAGAAGGACATGTCCAGGATGATAGGAGGACCCTCACAGTTGCTTTCTGCTTCTCTCTCTCCATCTTGTGGGTTGGTGGGCATCCCGGTGTTGTTGTTGCCCTCAGAGCCTACCAGTGTCAAGATGTAGTCAGTGAGGGATTCTATCATGGCAAGAAGAAAATCTGATGCGGATGACATGCTTGGATTATATTCTTCATGCAGAATGCAGTAGATGTCTCTCATGGGTAACTGCTGCTCAGGTCTGGAAGCAGGGTCTTCCTGTTGATTGTTGTCTTTACAGGAACCATCTTGGTTGTTTTGGTCACACATGATGGTTGTTAGTTTGGAGCTCTGGTCTAATCTGCCTGCTCCACTGGCTGTATTAGGTATCTGAAGCCATCAACACTCAGACCTGCGCAATGTAACTCCAGCTCTTATCCCTCATTGGTCTGAAGCTGTTTTGTGACAACCTGGGCTTTGTGATATCATTGGTGTCCACTGGGATGTGATCAGGCCTCAGTCTAGAAATGTTCATGATATCAACTTGGTTGCCCTAATAAGTGAGTACATTTTTGAGGCAACTCTTTCCACTTTCTACTGTATTTGAGCATTCTAGGAAAAAGCATATTTCAATGAATACATTGCCTTGTCTTTAGCACACCACTTAAGGTTCCCTGATACCATCCTTCCATCTTTTTTGAGCTCTTTTGCATTCCTTTATAAAGCATTGGTAACTGATAGACATGGTGAATCCTTTATCCAGTATACATATATTTTTCTCCCTGATCATGGTGTAATGAGAACAATTTTGCTTCCATTTTTCAAATTAGTTAAATATTTATGATAAATACTTCCACATCTGCTCTTTGGATGTTCCTTCCAGTTGCCTATAATATCTGTTAATTTTCTCATAAGTTAAACAGATTCTTACAAAATATTTTCATTTACTATCTGGGTGACTGTCATGATTTTACTGTTTGAAAATATCATACAACTGTTTTGAAGGCCACATTTATAACCTCAGTTGATTCACCTGTTAACATTCATAACACAAGTGTATCCCTTACACTCAGTTAAAGCCCAAGACTGTCTTTTCCTGGATCTCCCGGGTCTATTCAAAGCATGCTAGGAATTTACTGATTCTGTTTTTTCTGGGTGCACTTTCTGTTTATTTTCCACTGTATTAGTTTTATATTTGTTTTGTTTTTATTGCCTTGTACCCAACCTATTATTCTCATTATTAACCAAATGTTTATGAATCAGGTTTCAGGATCTGACAAGGCACAGATTTCTACAAATGATAAATAGAAATCTAGATTCTGTTGGGTGGAAGAAAAGAGAAACATCTGGTTTATCAGTCTTTTTTTTCTATTTCTTTTTTCATCAAATCAATTAAGAATTTCATACACACTGGGACTAGAACAGTTTTCATATATATATATATATATATATATTAGATAGATAGATACATAGATAGATAGATAGATAGACTGGGAGATTTTACTCTTTTCTGTTTGCAGTTGATCCATTATTGAATAGTAGAGGTGGAGCTATAGGTCTATTTCTCTGCACATGTCTCTGGAATTCAGAAATATTTTCACTTTTTATTATGAATATAAAGTTGTCCTACCTCTAGAGAGTATTGATAGATTATAAGATTATTGAAGTTAGTGGAATTCTGTTCTAATTGGCATATAATGAGACCTGCCTGGTGCAGCCATCTCCTTCTGCCTCCCTCCTTGGCATGGCACTCTACTTTTTCTTCTCAAAAGGCAACAGGTGGTGTTGTCACAGCCAGTGGTCCAGAACCCAGCCGATTCCTGGGTACCGTGCCCCGCTACAGTGTGGGTAAGCATGTCTGATCACATGATTAAGGGGAGGGAACAGACACAGCTTTTTACTAAAGGCAGCTCTACACTATAAGATGGGTGAAGTGGCAGCTTTATAGGTTCACGTGCACTTCTAGTTGGAAAACTCCCAGATGGAGGGCCTCTTATCCCTCATCTCACACATGAGGAAAAACTGGTTAGTGCTCAGATGGAGCGGATGAATGGTGGAGTTGGCATAGCCCTACAGTGGTGCACTGGAATCTGAGACTTGGGTCCTCTGCTTCTGTTGTAGAAGCCAAGTGGGCAGCCACTGAGCAGCCCAGTATGGAAGGACAACAGGCAACAGAGGGTGGACCCAATGGACAGGGAATTCCTCAAATGCAGATTCTTGGGGCAACAGGCCAATTCCTGCAACACTTGGTGTAAATCCTACTTCTTTAAAATTGTATAGCAGCATGTTTGCAGAAAATGCATGCACTTTGAATTCATCATTTGGGACAGAATTACAAATGCTCTTGTTAATCCTCTCAAAGGGCGTATTCAGGTACTGGCATTTCTTCATTGTTACTTCAAATATCTGATCAATAAATGATGATGTTTAAATGTGAAACTGATTATTGTCTTTTAAAGAAAATACATTTTTAAATACACTTTTTTCATAATTAATAGCCGCTAAGTACTGCTTGCATTGCCTATGTTAGGTCACCTCATTTATGACTATAATTTAGCAGTGTCCACAACAGAGGATGGAAAATTATATTCACCATGCACGCAAATACTCCATAGGTAACTCATCTTCCTGAAAGAGGTAGTGTAAAGTACTTAACAAGAGCATCATTCCTGTTTTCTGCCTTTTTTTCTCATTTCCTCATCACTGCTCAGTTTGAATGTAAATTCTCTGGTCCTACACAATTCTTTAAAAAATATTTTTATTTTAGGTACATTTTACGTATACAAAATAACATTCATCATAGGGAATTTGTATCTGTACGTGGTATATCTTGCTTCTTCTTTTTTCCCATTCCTTTCCCCTCCCCTAGACCCCTTCTCCCCTTCTTATTTTCTTTTTTTCTTGTCCCTTCTTCTCTCCCTCCCCTTGTTTCCCTTCTCATTTGAATATTTTCTTCCCATTTCCCAATATCTATTATGCATTTTGATCCTTATTTACACTTTTGGTTTCCCACAACAAAGAAATAATGTAGTATTTAAACACGTGTCCAATTTATCTCACTAAGGAGTATGGTCTCAAGGTGCATCTATTTAGCTAGCAATATCTCAAGTTTATCCTTCTTTATGGCAGAGTAGCAGTCCCATTTAATTCTTGCCAACAGTGTTCACCTTTACCCCTCACACTCATTGTCATGACTTTCTGACTTTGATCATTCCCACTCACGAATCATGCCTTCCACACTTAAATAATGTTTTTCAGTTCCTCAGCAGGTGCCAATAATATGCTGAGAATCCAGCATACATAGGAGGCACCCAGCCAATTTCTTGGCCTCTCAAGGCCTTCTTTGCTTAGAGTCCCTAAGTATGTCTTCTCTGCTCTCTGTCCTACACAGCTCCTCCCCTGAAGCTACTTCCCCTACCACTCCAACTGAAATTAATCCTTTGTAATTACTGATTCAAAGGCCTTATACTGACCAGTGCTTACACCCCCGACTGGCGTCAACCCTCTCTATGGCAGAGCTCCTGGATGCCCCTCAGACACCTCCAACTCACAGTGCCTCAAAGTCAAAAACTTTGTCATAGTTTTAAAGCATTTAATAGCATTTGTTAACAACAAAAGTGGGGCCTTCTCTTCCATAAAACAATACAGCTCTGGCTAAGCCTCTAAGGCTTTGCACTATTCTCTTTGTTAGCCATTCTTCCTGAGTCCAGGCATTCCATCCAACAAAGAGAAGGACACATCCTGGATGATACCAGGTTGCTCACAGTGGTTGCCCACTTCTCTCTCGCTGTCTTGTGGGTTGGTGGGCATCCCAGTGTTGTTGTTGGCCTCAGAGCCTGCCAGCTCCAAGATGTAGTCTGTAGCTGAGTCATGTGTGGTGAGGAAGAAATCCGTTGTTGTGGAACCTAACAATGGTGTTTATTGTTCTTTCAAAAAGTGATATACTTTTCACAGATAACTGCAGCTCAGGTCTGGAAGCAGGGTTCTCCTGTTGATTGTTGTCTTTATGGAACTCTCTTGTCTTTTTTCATCAGACATGATGGTTGCTAGTTTGTTCTCTGGTCAGGTCTGTCTCATTCACCAGCGAGAGTAGGTCCCTGAAACTACACCTGCCTATTGTATCTCAACTCCTGTCCCTCATTGGTCAGGAGCTGTTTTTTGTAACAGCCTTGACATTGAGATGTTATTTGTGTCTACTGGGCTTTGCTATAATCTTAGCTTTGCAGTGTTTGTCACACAAACCTACTTGCCTAATAAGCAGACATGGCTTTGAGGGAACTCTAGCACCATATTTGGCTTTATCTTGTAGAAATGTGTTTCAGTGGATAACTTTGCCTTTTCTTTAGGATGTCTCTCCAGGTTATCTGATTCTAGCCTTGTATTCTCTTTGCAGCTTTTTATCAATGTTTGTTATAAATGTTTGTAAGCCACTGATCAGCATATGATATGTATTTTTCCAGTAGATGTGTGGCTGTCCTCTTCCTTGCATTGTATTAAAGCCAGTGATGCCTGAATTTACACATTGACATATGTCTTGTAAATATTCTTGTGTCTACTCTATGGATTATCATTTCAATCAGTTACAACACCTTTATCTTTTAGCTCATTTTGATTTTATATCTGCATGAGTTTCTTTATTGTCCCTGTTTGAAAAAAAAATTTTTTAACCAATTTGGAAGCAAGAATCATGTACTCAATGGATTACCCTGTTAGAATCTAGTAAACATTTTTGATAAAAAGCGCACCTTATGCTCAATTCAAGCCCAGTTATGTCATTCTTAGCTCTCCTAGGTGATATCAGTGCACTAAAAGATGTTGCCTCGTTATTCCCATTTTAACTTTCCTCTTTACTAGTCTTGTATTTCTGCCTTTTGTCTTGCGTTTTGGTTCATTTAAAGACAATAACCTTCCTATTCCAAAAGAAAGAAATTGCAAGGAAGAAATGAGTCTCCAATCTATGCAATTTCAGAACCCAACCATGCAAAACTCCATTAGATTTCAAGGCTTGGCAATAATCTTACATGGTGTGAGACTTTTTCTGTCATCCCACTGATCCTGTGACTTTACCTGGGGCCATGGCTCTGCCACCTGGGCCCTAGAATCTGTCTGCATTTCCTCTTCTTTCCTTTATTTTGAATTGTTGTATGTGTTTACAGCTGAGTAGTTTTCTCAGCCCTCTCTCTGTCATATTTTGAGACTCTCACAGCCTTCTTTCATTTCATCCTCTATCTATCCCTTTCAGTCTAAGTTGCCATTGTTTCTGCTTATATAACATTCTCAAAAACGCTGAAATCTTCCATGAGAGTCATGAAAATTCATGTCATCAGACA